TAGAAAGCTCATGTTTTTTTTAGGATTAAGATCAGTGCAGCGGGGTGTCTGAAGGCAGAGGATATCCTGGTGTGCACTGGATTTGGATGCTGTTGCATCAAGCGACGACGCCGAGCCCGCCTGTAAACAAGGTAAGAGTCGATTCTTTCGGTTTTCGCTGCTGCAACAGAAAAACAAAAACGGAACACTCCGGATTTCAAAATGGAACAAAGCCTGAACTAAACCTTTTAGACTTTCAATATTTCAAACCTTTGGGCTCTGGGCTCTCTCTGGGGCTCTGGACTCTGGACTCTGGGGCTCTGGGGCTCTCTCTGGACTCTGGACTCTGGACTCTGGACTCTGGACTCTGGGACTCTGGGGCTCTGGGGCTCTGGACTCTGGGGCTCTGGACTCTGGGGCTCTGGACTCTGGACTCTGGACTCTGGACTCTGGACTCTGGACTCTGGGGCTCTGGACTCTGGGGCTCTGGACTCTGGGCTCTCTCTGGGGCTCTGGACTCTGGACTCTGGGGCTCTGGGCTCTCTCTGAGCCCTGGACTCTGGACTCTGGGACTCTGGACTCTGGGACTCTGGGACTCTGGGACTCTGGGCTCTCTCTGGGGCTCTGGACTCTGGACTCTGGGGCTCTGGACTCTGGGCTCTCTCTGGGGCTCTGGACTCTGGACTCTGGGGCTCTGGGCTCTCTCTGGGGCTCTGGGCTCTGGGCTCTGGGCTCTGGGCTCTGGGGCTCTGGGCATCTTCACAAAACGTATTTCAAGTAGATAATTCCTGCCGGGAACAGTCCAGTCCGGGATTTAAAACAAAGATTTACAAATACAACAAACCCCTTGCGTTGAAAAAAGAAAGTTCTGCCTCACATTTCGCACCGTCAGTTCAAGGATGACTATTTAGGCTTCGTTAAACATATCTCAGGACCTTCACTCAGCCCCGAGACGCGCACTGCCCGCCCTGCGGGACCTGGCTGGCGCGTGGGCCGGCTCCCGCCCAGGTGACCGCGGGACAGGTGCGACGCTGGCTGCGCGCGCCTCCCCGCCTTCTCGCCCCCCCCCCCCCCGCTCGCCCGCGCACGCACGCACGAGCGCGCCCCTGCGAGACTTACCGTGTAGGTGACGGTCTCTTCCACATCTTGGGAAACAGCGCATCTGACAAAGACGCTCAGGTACAAACAGGCTCTCAGCATTGTGAATCGTCTTGAAAAGAGAGTGGATACGGAGAGAAGTTAAATTGCGATGTTTTTCGCTCGTAGCGTTTCCCCCTGACGATGAACACAATTTACACACCAATAATTACATCAGTAGTCGAATTGTTGAGCAAGTGTGAACTTCTCCCAGCGGACTGGCTCTGTTTTTATTGGCCAGTATCCAGCTAAACTTGAAATACTGGGAGGCAGCAGCTTGCTTGCGTCTGCAGTCAGAAGACCCTCCGTGCGCTCGGGACGCTCTGATCAAGCGCTACCGCTCAGCGATCAGGGCTTGCTCTCACATCAGTGGAAACAGATTCTAAAGATACTGTAAAGATACTGCTTGTACTCATGAACATACAGCATGGCATCGGCGGTAATGCAACATATTTGCACATTGTACAACAAGTCTGATCACTTATTATTCTGTTCTGAAACAGCGACATCCCAGCGTTAAGACACAATCAGAAACAGTGCTGCACTGAAGTAGATTAGTCATCATCAAGTTATTTACGTGTCGCGGCTCTCGGCGATGGACACGCGAGCACGTTTACTGTCAGTGTCTTGCGGCGCCTCGAAACGACACGAGTCCAGGATGCGGAGCGTCCGCGCAGGTGCCGCGTGCAACCGGAGAGTCCGCGCGCCGGGCAGGTGAGAGCCGACAGCGGCGCACCGGGGGAGGGGGGGGTGGTCAGGGGGGAGCGCGCCCCTCCCTACCTGGGGGACATCCTCCTGTCCGCGGGGGACGCAGGCTTCAGGACGCGCGGTGGCCCGGCGGGTGATTCACGTGCTTCACGCGGCGGCGGACCTGCGGCTCGCGGCGCTCCGCATGGTAGAGTAACTGGCGGCGGCAGCTCGCGGGGTTTAATACCGACTACAATCGCGGCGAGCGCGCGGCGGCAGTGGAATGCAGGGGGCGGCGCTTCCCGCAGGTCGCACACGCAGCGGCGAGCACAGGGGGATCTCTGTGCGCTTCATTTCTATCGTCTTCTTGATCGCCCCGAGCCCTGCGGCGCGGAAGGCAGGGTGGGGCGCCCCCTGCCGTCGCCTCTGCGCTGCTGGCTGAAAGTGGGGCACTGTGAGTTGTAAGACCGTTACGCAAATGTTTCAGATATTTAGTAAATGCAATGGATTTGATTTGTTTTTCTTTCGGAGAAAGAAAAGAAAAACTGCTATGATTAAATAATGAGTATCGACACAAAGTTATAACCGGCATTAGGAGAAATGAGCAACAGGAGACGGAATGGAGGTAAAGAAATGTTTGTTCAAACCCTGCTTTGAAATGAGTTAAACCATTACAAATAAAGTGGTCATGAACTGTGGTCAGTGATCCTAGAAAAGAAAGTGCAACTAACTGCATTTGATACACTTGCTGAGGAAACAACATTGGTACACCGGTGACTTAGATTAATTATTTGCGCAGACGTGACACGACAGAATGTCAAGTGAGCTGTTAGCTGCGTTAGTCTTTCAGGTTTTGTTAAGTAAAATCCAAGAATTTGTGCAAACGACAACACGCAGAGGGGTCCCTCGCTGAAGACGCAGAGGTTTCTGCCGCTGAGACACCTTGTGTTTTTGAAGTGAGTCTGGGGTCTCCCCGGCGCTGAGCTGGACCGGACGGAACAGTTCGGCTGGGAAGTTTATCTTAAGGCTCAGAGGAGAGTTGACGTACGTCTTGGCTGGATGAGGATTGCTCCTGAGATGATAGAACAGTTATTACAGTTTTCCAGATGCGGTGCTGTCCTGTCGTTCTCGTATATATGCGTACATAATGTATTGTAAGTATATTAACTGAACAAATACCACTTTGCTGGCGTTGCAGGCTAGCTTGTAATTTAACATCAATATTCACTTATAAACAAATTGTATTTTTATTCTTTAAATTATGTTCCAGAATAAAGTTTTTTTAAAACACAAGGCGGTCACCGTGTTTTCGATCTCGATATAATCTGATAAACATTTACAAGACTGCATCCCGGAAGAGAATACCGGCTTTGAAGCCATCACCCCTCAGGCTGATATCGACTGGGTCTGTTGTGACCCCACAGTTACATCTGTTAAAATATTACCCGGATGTTGTGGTGAAATTCGTCAGAGTACACAGCAGATACAGTAAACCACAAACTGGTCGATCGATCAGGTCGCTATTCGATGTCTACCTTAGCGATATAATGTTACTGTTTATCAAACATTATGAATTTAAATGACTGGACTATACTAAACCATTGTGGATCCGTGGAGCCAGTGTCACAGTAAATATAGTCACCAGGGAACTCTCTGCGAGCCACTTTCAAACCGGCGTGTGCTCTTCACCTGCCTGTTGTTCACCAGACTGCGATGACATCAAATCCGACAGGTTGTTGTTTTATTCAGGATACCAATTACACCTTTTCCTGGAGCAAAAACATATTTGTGACAATTTTTGTTAGACACACGTAAGATTTAAAGAGATTAATATTTCGTGTTTTTTCACACGGCACATTGTGAGAGGGTAACGTTTTTGGCTCGTTTCTCTTATGTCTGAGATTCCCCGGATTAACAGATTTGTAATCATGCACGTTCTTTTCTCCAGATTTACACGGTGGTTGACATGAGAAAAATAAATAATAAATCCCTGTTTGGAACTGATTGGATTACGAACTGGCGGTCCAGTGGAGTGTTGGGTTCTGGCTCTGTCTCCTCCGGACTGGTTTCCCGGCTCTGCCCAGTTCCGCGGCGCGACAGGCGCTCCAGGGTGCAGTGGGGAACCCCTACCCCCAGACCCAGTCTGCAGGGCCCACACCGCGAGGGTTTCCGGGCAGTGGCGTTTCGGCCATATGTCCCGCTCCTGGCACTGTGGTCCGTCGGCCCCTGGCTGGAGAGAGAGGGAGCCAGCAGCTCCAGGAGCGGCTCTCTGTGTGTGGGTGGAACCGGCTCAGGTACTGGATCTGGATCTGGAACCGGCTCAGGTACTGGATCTGGAACTGAACTGGAACCGGATCCGACTCAAGTTGTGGATCTGGATCTGGATCTGGCTCTGGCTCTGGGTGTGAATCCTGCTCCGGTTCTGGTTGTGGTTCGGGATCTGGATCTGGATCCAGCTCTGACTTGAGCAGGACTTGAGCAGGAGTTGAGGAGGACGTTAGCAGGACGTGAGCAGGACTCAAGCAGGATGTGAGCAGGAGTTGAGCAGAGTTTAGCAGGAGTTGAACAGGACCTGAGCAGGAGTTGAGCAGAGTTTAGCAGGAGTTGAACAGGACGTGAGCAGGAGTTGAGCAGGAGTGGAGCAGGATGCAAGCAGGACTCG